TGTGTGTGTGTGTGTGTGTGTGTGTGTGTGTGTGTGTGTGTTATGTACCCGATTGGACATCAATCCACCGTGAATTTGACACGAACGATGCAAATCGACACAAAACCAGAGTAAGATATGCAGCAATAGGTCATCATACAACAAAGAATTGAATAACGAATTCAATTCTGAACTACCCCCGTCCTCCTCCAATCAATCCAGAGTACTTTATTCCAAGAATCACAACCGCGTTGTCAACAACCCCGAACAACCAAAATCAAATGTTCAATGAATTCTCTTCCTCCTCGTCACCTCATCACCCTGGCTATGGCTGCCATAGCAGCAGAACCCCAAAACTGTCACAACATGCCAATCTGAACCAGCACTCTCAACAATTTGCAGCGCCTGCTCAACGCCCGCAAAGAAGTGCAGCGCTGGAATCCTGATAAAGAAGCAGATAACCAATCCAATACTTCGGAGAAGATGGTTCCTCGTGAGGAGGAACAACGAAAGAGCTGCCGAATGGATATGATGGCATTGGCCCAACACCCCACAACAGAGTCCTGTGGAAGCTCGCATGCAGTGCTGCAAAGCAGCAGCAGCGCGCCCTAAAACTTCGGGCCCAACTCCGGCTATGGCTGGACTTTAAGAAGATGACCTCGCACAAAATAGTGCCGTAGCGCTCAAACCCCAGGACGGCAGAGTTTCCCCAACCAAAACCAACGTGAAAAGACCCGAACCAAATTTTCTGTTCTCTACGTCTAGACTCCCAGCCTCACTCACGTCCTAGGGCACTATGAGTGTGGCATACTGCGTGGCCACACGGGCCCTGTAGGAACCGTCCCGGACATTCAGCCTAAAAGCCTAAAACTTAGGATCTACAGGCCCCGGTTGTTTCAGCCTGAAAACTGAAAAACGAGGGCCTGCAGGCCCTACTCCGTTTCAGCCTATTTCTGGGTCTTTCAGACCCAGAGTTTTTCCAGCCTGAAACGGAGGGCTAATCTTAGGCCCTGGGCTATTTTTAGGCCCTCATTTGTTTCGACCTGCCCTAAGATTCAGGCACGAAAACTGGGTTTCGRAACAGGCTATTTCTGGCCTGTTCCCACGCCAGCTCGAGCAGGAGCTGCAGCTGCAGCCCCTGCCTCCCTGCGGCACTATTGGCAAGAGCACGAGCAGGAACTGCAGCTGCAGCCCCTGCCTCCCTTCGGCATTATTGGCAAGAGCACGAGCAGGAGCTGCAGCTGCAGCCCCTGCCTCCCTTCGGCATTATTGGCAAGAGCAGCCTCCTGGACTGCTCGCCCGAGTCAGGAGGCACCCGTGATAGTACATAGGAGCTTCAGGCACTGAACGGGTAGGCAGTTGGAGAGTAGGACGGTAGTCTTCAGTTTCGGCCGCAGCACTCAGGAGGAGCGCTGCAGTAGTCTTCAGTGCTAGGCAGTAGTAGTAGCGCTAGCTGTAGTCTTCGGCACTGGGCGCCATAGCCATAGAAGTAGTCTTCAGCGCTGGGCGCTGTAGGTGGTAGGTAGTAGAGTTGGGAGAGACACTGGCGGAGGCCAGTGGTACTTACCTGTGGCGCCATCGCTCCAGCTCCATCTTCGAGGTACCTGCATCAAGGCGCCAACTTCACAGGTTAGTACTGGACGCAGAGAGAGAGAGAGTTCTTCTTCGTCCTCTTCTAAGTCCACCATCTCTTCTCACCCTCTCGCCACCTGACTTCTCAGACTACGACAGAGAGAGAAAGAGTTGTGACTTGAGACTCGACGACATTGGATCCAGACTCGACATTGGGATTCAGACATTTTGACGAGGGACTATTTGGGCCTGTGCTGAACACTTGGTGTTGACGACATTCCCATCTTCCCTTCTTCTTCGTCTAACCCCACCTCCTTCGTCTGTGTATGGTNCTACAGGCTGAAGAAGCGGCAACAGCAGAGAAGCTGCGGCTACAGGCCGAAGCAGACGCAGATACCCAGGCTCGCCGAAAGGAAGCCCATGATCTGCTGCGGCGGCACGATGCCAACAGCATCGACAGACTCAAGTACTGGCACTTTGAACCGAACGGCGACGAGCCAACACCGGAAGAGCAGCATAAGGAGTTCTTGGCCAAGCTCGTGGCCAGGCTGGTTTACACATGTAACCACCTGCAGTCCGAGCTGGCAAACCTTCAGCGGGCTGTGCGGAACCATAAGACTCAGCATGAGGATGCCACACTGGACGTCCGTGTACTGGACATGGAACAGGTTGTACCAGGACCAGCTGCTGGGGCTTCCAGCAGTGCATCCTCTAGCCGCCAACTGGAGGAACGCGTTGACCACGTAGTGGCAATGCTAGGAGACATAAGTGCCTTCACAGAGCCGGCCACCATCAGCCAGCGGTTCGAGTTGCTGGACACCAAGATCAGTCAGCAACAGCAGACCGACCACAGCCACAACAACAGCTCGGCGAGGCCATACAAGATGTCGACGTTCCGGATCGAGAAATTGATGACTACACACATCAAGACCCGAACGTCTAGTGGCAAGGATTTACAACTGAGTTGGGGATCCACGAGGTCCCTGACCATCTGTTCATCAGTGCTCTGTTCATCAACACCAAGGGAGGATGTCAGATCTGGCTCAGCCACATGGCAACCATCCACGGCGTCCAGGTTTCAGACCTGCACAAGAAGGTCACTTGGGAGGATATGACAAAGGAATGGAAGAAGCGGTTCATAGTGGACGACGCACCCGCGCTCGCCATCAACCGCATCTTCGCGATGGCTCAAGGGAGCACACCGACACGTGAATGGCTCACGGATTGGCAGAAGATCGTGGCCACGCCCGATCTGGACTTGCCATTTCCGCAACTACGCCGTGAGTTCTACAACAGGTCATGCGCCGCTCTCAGCCTCGCACTGGGTGATTGCGAGCAGTACAACACTTTCGCAGAGATCATCAACAAGGCGAGAGAAATCATCAAGACGAACAGGGCGGCTGCACACGAGAAGTCAACGTGGCAGCCAACCTATGTGGAGAAGGTACGAACTGGTCTGCCACAGCAGCAGTTCGCTGCAGTCCAATCGGACAGTGGAGAAGACCCAGCAGCCACTCCAGCATCACGTGAGGGAGATCAGGTGGCTGCTGTCCAGCCGCGAAGCAACAAGCCCCGAGTGAACGGGAAGGCGAAACCAGCATCTCAGGCCGGAAACGGACAGCCAGCACCACCATGGGTCAAGTTCGACTTGACCGAGGCCGAGTACAAGTACCGCAACCGTTACGGCTGTTGTTACTGGTGCAACAGCAACAAGCACAAGACCTCCATTTGCCAAGATCAGGCCAAGGAGGATGTGCGGCCTCGTCTTAACTCGGGAAACTGAGTTGCGCACGAGGTGAGGCGACTCCACCTCTCACTCCGCCAGATTCGGCCGCCTTGCTAGCGGCCTCCTACACATCCGGGGAGGATGCGCATGTCGCAAATCCTCGGTACACTTACGAGGATTATGCTGTCCACTTGGTCCCACCGCTGGCCGAGTCGCTCCACATGCAACAATCTACCGCATTCACGGTTTCATCACCATCGGCAACCGATTCGGCAGCTTCGCCGCTATCTATCGTCGAGGATTCATCGGACTTCCAGGTGCTCGACCCACTGACATTCACGGACTTCCAGTGGATGCCCGTTCACCCGACCGGACGATTGTCGAAACCGCATTGCAATGTGCTCATGGCACAACTGCGAGATTACTTGCACACTGCAGTACCAACTCCGTTGATGGACGCCGGAGTAGAGGCTGTCGACCTTCACGCTTACATTGCGAAGATCGACCGCGAGTTCAAGACGCAACGGTACGACGACATCGACGCACCATTGCTATATGTACGSATTCAGATCGGAGAGGCGACCTGCAACGCCTTGATCGATTGCGAAGCATCTCGCAACTACATCAGCCAGGACTTCATGGTGCGCGCCGGCCTTGGCCCACGTGTCTGGAGGAAGTCCCAGCCTACTCAAGTCACTTTGGCAGACGGTCATACGCACAAGTCCATCGACCGGTGCATTGACGCCGTCCCCGTGTACTTTGCCCCTCACGCAAGTGAGGCGGTGTCCTTTGATATCCTGGACACCAAATTTGACATGATCTTGGGCATGTCATGGCTGCGAAGCGAGGATCACCCGGTGAACTTCTTCCACCGCACCGTTCACATTCGCGATCGGAACGGAATTTAGTTCCATGCACGGTACCTCTTCCTCATCCTTCGATCAACTGCCACGTGGTATCCGCCGCAAGCATGCGAGCATCCATCATCAGAGACGACATCGAGGAGATGGGGGTGTGTTTTTTCCATGCGCTCTCGCCCCGAGACGCTTCATCGACGGACTCATCTTCGGATCCACGCATCACCGAACTTCTCGACACCTACAGCGACGTGTTCGAAAGCCCGCACGGAGTAGTACCGGATCGGCCCATCCGCCGCGAGATCATCCTCGAGGACGGGGCCGTACCTCCGCGCAGTTGCATCTACCGAATGAGCGAGGAAGAGTTAAGTGTGCTCCGTGCACAACTCGACGATCTTCTAGAGAAAGGCTGGATTCGGCCTAGCTCATCGCCATACGGTGCTCCTGTCCTCTTCGTCCGGAAGAAGAACAAGGACCTGCGGTTGTGCATCGATTATCGCAAGCTCAACGCACAGACGATCAGGAACGCCGGCCCTCTCCCACGCATC